GTCTTAACGATATACCAACTGATTAACGATAACAAGTGTATGATATCTACTAGAGATATCTACTTAATGAGAATGACATGAGTAGGATAAAGACTGGTTGTCAATAAGGGCTTAAAATGACTGTGATTTGTACAAGCATAGCAACAAATATTATTAATTGTTCTATCCTTACCACGTCGTAATTTCCGAAATTGTAACCACTAATATGAATGAATCTGTATGTTAATCTAAATATTCTATGCGTTAATAACTCCTCAAATACTTACAGAAAATGTTATATTAATATCAACAAATCTGATGATATTCATATTAGTTCACAGGTAGATAAAGGAGAACACGACAAAATGGAAAGGTAAGTTATCAATTACGTGATGTCCACCTAAAATAAACTTTAGAATCGTGTAATCTGCACAGCATTCGAACTAACCTATGGAATTGTCAGTTATTTCTGTGTATTATCTTTGTCGGCAGAAATCTCGGTTGTAATCAACTACCTTGTTTGTCTTTTTTTTTAGGATAAAACCACATTGGGCTATCTGCTGTGTCCACCATGTGGAATCGAACTCCTCATTTCAGCGTTATAAGTCCGTAAACTTACCGCTGTTCCACCGGAGGACCCTAATCATGCTGACCAGGTGGTGTTGGATGTGTTCTGATGTCGAAGAAGTCATACTATAAAACATATACAACATGACCACAACTTCTCAACGTTCTTACCAATGAGCACAATACTGATAATATCAGCGCATGTTCTGTGGTCAACTGATGCTGTGTTACAGAAGATCCACAGAACGTAGATCTTCGAAGACCCGCTAGATCAAGTCCTCCGTGGAGTACAGAGGTACAACTTGTCTCCAAACATTACCGGCAAGTATCGTTTCTGTACTCCACAGAAAATAATGTTTCTCTTTGCCTAGTCTGTAAGTTATAGAACATCTTTAGAACATATCAACGTCAGAGTCGGCCCTATCAAAATTGTGGCCAGAGCGAACTTTGTATTCGGCGTCCCTACCCTGTAAAATTAACAAGAACTGCTACTCGTCGATTTTTGTCTCCCTTTGGGGTAAGTACCCCGTGCAACATTACTTTTTTGCTACTGTTTGTATCAGATAACACGTTCAAGATAACTAAAACCGTTGAAATCACATGTCCACATTTGTGTTATTTCTTTACAATTTTTATTCATGCAGTAAGCTATTTTAGGACCTAAATAACATTTTTGATTCGCATAACATGTCAAACCTTCAGTTGTCAAACTGTACAGTAAGTGAAATTCCCAACCCAGCGAATCGCCAGTTTTCACCGTAGTGTTGGTTTCTATAGAGAACTATCCATAACTGTTTCAAAAATTGTTAACGATAAATGTTTAGTATATAAGTTCACAGCCTGACATGACCTGATAATTAGTGCGCTCGAGTCAAAGACTAGTATCTCATCACCGAACATGCTCGACCTTTCAGCCATGAAGGTATCATAATGTGACGGTCAACCCTACTATCCAATTAACGTAGTCCAAGTGTGTGGTGTTAACCATCTTCTTACTCTCTAGTCTATAAATTCTAAATTATGAAAAGCTAACTTAGATAGATTCCGAATAGGTTTGCATGAAATTCAACAAACATATATCCATGAGCTACCATTCCTACTTCCGCACTTATCGCAGAGGAACCGGAAGTGTTGTATCCTTTTACATATCTGTATATCCATGAGCTACCATTCCTACATCCGCACTTATCGCAGAGGAACCGGAAGTGCTGTATCCTTTTACATATCTGACTTACATAGTAACTATAAATTAGATAATTATATTCATTTTCTGGGGGCATGCCCACAGACCCCACTAGACTGAGCTGCCTTTGGCAACATGGGAGCTCTTTATATACTTTCAATCTCTCACTGTAAAATTTGCATATCTAGCCAAGCATCCCCAGTTTGTAAATCCTTCTTACATCATTGTATCAGTCAGTTAGTCACTAAAACTTTCGTTTTGTAGGCGTAGACCCTTTCTAGACTTAGCTTTCCAATTTAATAACTAAGGGATTTTTTTTTCTACGTCTACTAGTCTCTGCCGGTATAAAAATGAGCAGAAATGAGAAAGAGTGCGCCAACGTTAACACAACTCAACGAATGTTAACAAGGGGCAGGCCTTTTTTTCTAGAGGATTTAGACAGCGTGTTTAACATATAGAGTTATTTTGGCCTACTTTCTATTGATTTCGAGAATACGTTTCGAACACGAAGAACCGGTGCGTTAGTATTATTAATTCTCGTTTGTACTTGTCTTCAGTTTATTAATCATAACTACAGAAATGTTCAGTATCGAATTAAAAAACAACAACAACAAAACTTATACACATGTTCTGTTACATTTACTGTACTTGTAAAGCTCCACTGTAGAAGTCGCCATCTTTCTACTGTCTCTTCCATCCGTGCTATAATTACAGAAGAGGCGATAGTGTATTCAACTCTAGTGTGAGTGTGTTTTCTTATAACAAAGCCCCACTGGACTATCTGTTGTGTCCACCGAGGGGAATCGAACCCTTGATTTTAGCGTTGTAAATCCGAAGACTTGCCGATGTTATAGATCGTAGAAGACGATGCTAAGATACAAATATAAGCATAGAAACAAACAAACAAACAAACCTGAGTATAATCACCGTCGGTTCAATAATATAAGTTTAGTACCAAAAAAAGGGCGAAAAATCCATCTTAATGTATCATTTACTTCAATGGCATGAAGTTCTATAAATTCTGTTTGTTTTTCTTGGTTTAATCGAGTATTTTCCTTGTTGTATATGGTCATCCATTATTTACCTAAACGTTTAAGTGAGTCATAAATGTTGATTTAAAGCTGCAAAGCAATCTAAGTGTAACTGGTACACACATAGATAGCGATTTATGTGTTAAATAATCTTATATATCTAGTGTTGATTAAGCGACATTTGTCATTTCGCGAAAAGCTACACGAGGGCTGTGCTAGCCGTCCCTAATTTAGCAGTTTAAGACTATAGGGAAGGCAGTTAGTCATCACCACTTACCGCCAACTCTTGGGCTACTCTTGTTACGAACCATCACATCATAACGCCCCCACGACTGAAAGGGCGAGCATGTTTGGTGGAAAGGGGATTCGAACCCTCGACCCGCAGACTGCTAGTCGAGCGCCCTAACCACTCGGCCATGCCGGGTCAGGTTGATTAAGAATCTTGAGTACTGACAAAAATGTACATGTTTAGCTAATAAGAAAATAACATACAAAATTCAAAATATTAAGTAGCACGGTATCCTACCAGTGGCTCAGCTGTAAAGCTTAGAGCTGAAAATGAACATAGAACAGATAACTCATTGCGTATGGTTCAGCAAGTTTTTCCTCTCTTAAAATCCTTAGTGGTTGTTTTTAAGAATCTACTATATTTGATTGTTTTTGTTTTGTTTTGTAAAGTTGTCCTTTATCTTCTCTTCCTTTCTGATTCATTTTTCTATTACTTATTTTCCCAAGAGTTGTCGATGTTGATTAGCTACCTTCTCACCAGTCTGTAAGTTCAAAATTAGAGATGGCTCTGCACAAATAGTCCTTGTGTAGCTTTGCGCGAATATTTTAGAACAAAAAAGTAAAACATTTGCTTAAAACTATTTCAAGTTTGTATCTCTTTTAAAATGTAAAAGTATACGACCTCTACCAGAAAATGTTTAACTTTAATGTTTACCTTGAAAACTAAAATCACGGAGTTTCAACTTCTTAAGAGTCAAGTCGCATGATAACTTTTTGTTTTTCATTTGAGACAAACAGCGACAATGTAGTGGAAATAAATATTCTGTCTTAGTAGCATTTTTTTGTTTATATTACTAAATTGATTTTGATATACTTAATCAAAAGGTGATAATCTGCCGCCAAGAGACCATGTTGATTGGATTATTAAAGAAAGAGGACGGAACACCATAATATACGTAGTGATAGGTATATCTAGTTCTTAAATAATAATGATAATAGTTAAATTTATTTTTATTTTAGTCAAAAAAATCATTTCAATTTTATCTTTAAAACTTCGTTAATTCTATTTTCAATTTGTACGTACTCTTGGTTTACTACCCTGTGAAAACATTTTATGTATTTGTGAGCGAATAGTTCCATTTTCAATTTTTAC